GTTGAAGGTGTGACGGGGGCTTGACAAATAATGCTTTTTGTGGTTGCTTCAAGTTGTGTATTTACGATGTTTGATGTTCTGTTTTCATAAACTCTGGCAGGAGAGCATGGATGTTTGTCCTATCCGTTGAAGATAGGCATACTAGTTTATTAAATAGCATACAGTATAAATAACATACAGTATCCCTACAATAGTCCTAGTTGTACATTTTTTATTGTATTCAGTTTTTCATATGCCTTATAAAGGGTAATTGGCTTCAACATGGGAATATTGCATTGGAATCTTGGTCGCCTATAGCCTAAATTGCATTATATATCTGAGCAACAGACATTGCCTACCAAATGTTATAATAAGATTAGCCTACCTTTGCCATTGATATGGCTTGTGTGATGACTTTGCCACGTGAAGAATTGTAAAGGTAAACAAACCAACAGTCAAATATTAGTCTCCCTTTAGGCAGACGGGTTGCCTTCCACAATGTATCTGCCTAGGGTCAGGTTTACGAAACTAGGCAAATATCAATACACTATACAGTATATACAAAAATATGTGGACTCGGCTATTTCAGCCACCCCCATTGCTGACAGGTGTATAGAATCGAGCACACAGCCATGAAATCTCCATAAACAAACATTGGCAGTAGAATGGCCTTACTGAAGAGCTCAGTGACTTTCAACGTGGCAACGTCATAGGATGCCACCTTTCCAATAAGTCAGTTCATCAAATGTCTGCCCTGCTAGAGCTGTAAGTGCTGTTGTTGTGAAGTGGAAAGGTCTAGGAGCAACAACGGCTCAGCCGCGAAGTGGTAGGCCACACAAGCTCACAGAACAGAACCGCCAAGTGCAACACTCACTACTGAGTTCCAAACTGCCTCTGGAAGCAATGTCAGCACAAGAACTGTTCGTTGGGAGCTTCCATGGCCGAGCAGCCGCACACCAGCCTCAGATTACCATGTGCAATGCCAAGCGTCGGCTGGAGTGGTGGAAGCAAGTCCTTGCAGCAATGTTCCAACATATAGTGGAAAGCCTTCCCAGAAGAGTGGAGGCTGTTATAACAGCAAAGGGGGGACCAACTCCATATTAATGCCAATGATTTTGGAATGAGATATTCGACGGGCAGGTGTCCACATACTTTTGGTCATGTAGTGTACCAAGTGTATTCAGCACCATTTGACATCAACAGAGGACAGTGGAAGATTCATTTTTCAACTAAATTAGAAATGAGAAACAATCAGACTTTTTAACAACTTGATGTTTCTAAATAGGCTTCCTACACATAACAACTTGATGTTTTTAAATACAGTGAGGGAAAAAAGTATTTGATCCCCTGCTGATTTTCTACGTTTGCCCACTGACAAAGACATAATCAGTCTATAATTTTAATGGTAGGTTTATTTGAACAGTGAGAGACAGAATAACAACAAAAGGATCCAGAAAAACGCATGTCAAAAATGTTATAAATTGATTTGCATTTTAATGAGGGAAATAAGTATTTGACCCCTCTGCAAAACATGACTTAGTACTTGGTGGCAAAACCCTTGTTGGCAATCACAGAGGTCAGACGTTTCTTGTAGTTGGCCACCAGGTTTGCACACATCTCAGATTTTGTTCCACTCCTCATTAAGGTTTCGAGGCTGACGTTTGGCAACTCGAACCTTCAGCTCCCTCCACATTTTCTATGGGATTAAGGTCTGGAGACTGGCTAGGCCACTCCAGGACCTTAATGTGCTCCTTCTTGAGCCACTCCTTTGTTGCCTTGGCCGTGTGTTTTGGGTCATTGTCATGCTGGAATACCCATCCACGACCCATTTTCAATGCCCTGGCTGAGGGAAGGAGGTTATCACCCAAGATTTGACGGTACATGGCCCCGTCCATCGTCCCTTTGATGCGGTGAAGTTGGGGATGGTGTTCTTGGGGTCATAGGCAGCATTCCTCCTCCTCCAAACACGGCGAGTTGAGTTGATGCCAAAGAGCTCGATTTTGGTCTCATCTGACCACAACACTTTCACCCAGTTCTCCTCTGAATCATTCAAATGTTCATTGACAAACTTCAGACGGCCATGTATATGTGCTTTCTTGAGCAGGGGGACCTTGCGGGCGCTGCAGGATTTCAGTCCTTCACGGCGTAATGTGTTACCAATTTTTTTCTTGGTGACTATGGTCCCAGCTGCCTTGAGATCATTGACAAGATCCTCCCGTGTAGTTCTGGGCTGATTCCTCACCGTTCTCATGATCATTGCAACTCCACGAGGTGAGATCTTGCATGGAGCCCCAGGCCGAGGGAGATTGACAGTTATTTTGTGTTTCTTCCATTTGCGAATAATCGCACCAAGTGTTGTCACCTTCTCACCAAGCTGCTTGGCGATGGTCTGGTAGCCCATTCCAGCCTTGGGTAGGTCTACAATATTGTCCCTGACATCCTTGGAGAGCTCTTTGGTCTTGGCCATGGTGGAGAGTTTGGAATCTGATTGATTGATTGCTTCTGTGGACAGGTGTCTTTTATACAGGTAACAAGCTGAGATTAGGAGCACTCCCTTTAAGAGTGTCCTCCTAATCTCAGCTCGTTACCTGTATAAAAGACACCTGGGAGCCAGAAATCTTTCTGATTGAGAGGGGGTCAAATACTTATTTCCCTCATTAAAATGCAAATGAATTTAGAACATTTTTCACATGCGTTTTTCTGGATTTTGTTGTTGTTATTCTGTCTCTCACTGTTCAAATAAATCTACTATTAAAATTATAGACTGATCATTTCTTTGTCAGTGGGCAAACGTACAAAATCAGCAGGGGATCAAATACTTTTTTCCCTCACTGTAGGCTTGCTGACATTGTTCATTCAATGGATATCGCACATGTGTCTAAACATTTTCACAGGAGCTGGACATAAATATTATCCAATATAATTAGAAAAGAGTGTTGACTGTTTTGCTGCTCCCAAAAGTGATATTTGAATATTACAATTGGTGATATGCTATTCTATTGATTAGGATACTGTGCGCCTCCGCTGGCAAAATCCATGCCATAGACAACTGCCCTACCGCTAAGACCAGCTTTTGGTTGGTCTTAAATATCCCCACAGCACTGACTGAAATTGGCACTTTGGCGCACGATTTGAAGGACACACCTCAAATATTTCCACCCCTCTCACCTCAGCGCAAGCAAGCTGATATAAGACAGGTGAATTACCAACCCTGGTGCAAGGGTTTGAAAATAGCAGAGCACCTGCTTTAAGAGGTCGAAATTACATTTAATAATTGTGCCGAAAATAGAGCCCATAGTGACAGTTGACTGACAGATCCACTTTTTTCCTCTCAGGACAGCCAGATGTAAACATACCCCACAATTGCCTCAGAGCTTCCATCACATACCCCCCCCCCCCCCCCCCCCCCCCTCCTCAACACACTCATCGCTCCTTTTCTCTGTTCTACTTGTTTAGCCATTGATGTGAGTCAGTGTGAGACCAATTTCCAGTTGAAGATGATTTACAGTCGTGACATCACTGCAGGAATCTTCAAACAGCTGTGTGCACAAACACTGCCACACACACACATACACACACACATACACACACACACACTCCCTCCCAGGGTGATTACCTGTGCTACTCATTGGGGTGGTGCGGTGCGCCAGGTGTCTCACCGTGATAATACACACTCCGACTTTTAATCAAGCCAGCGCTTGTCAGCAACACCATGTTCCGCTGTCCTCACTATAGGCACGCACGTAATCACACACACACACACACACACACATACACACACACACACACACACACACACACACACACACACACACACACACACACATACACACACACACACACATACACACACACACACAGACAAGGTTAAACTGTGATGTATGACTAAGCTGGTAATTGCAGCTTTTCCGCCAGAACAGCTAAAAGTAACTATATCCCCACTTCCTTTCTCCTGTTCTCTTTCCCACTCATCCTCCTCTCCGATCCTCTCCTCCTTCTCTCATCTGTTTTCCTTCCTTCCCTCTCTTCTCTTTTCCTTTCCTGCTCTTCATCTTTCCTCTGTTCTGCTCTCTTCACCTCCCTTATCCTCTCCTTCTCTTCTCTCTTCACCTCCCTTATCCTCTCCTTCTCTTCTCTCTTCACCTCCCTTGTCCTCTCCTTCTTCTCTTCTCTCTTCACCTCCCTTGTCCTCTCCTTCTTCTCTTCTCTCTTCACCTCCCTTGTCCTCTCCTTCTTCTCTTCTCTCTTCACCTCCCTTGTCCTCTCCTTATTCTCTTCCATAATAATGATATGAGAGGTTATAACTGTTTATGATGTTTGTTATGTCACTGTTATGACAGTGATATGTAGCTTCATAACATAGGGTTGTCTTGCAGCTCATCTCAACTCTCTGTCCAACAGCGACAGTCAAAGCATTCTTGTTGAACTCGCTCTGAAAAATGTATAAGAGCAGCTCTCTTCTGAGAAATATGTATGCATACAGACACACACAACCCTAAATGAACAATAAAGCTTTTAACCATGGACCCTAGATATCCAAAGTAGCCTGCTTCTAAAAGTGGCTCATCAAAATAATTTGATGTGCGATGTGGGATAATATTCCAAATCAATGTATGAATAGATTATAATCTAAATGTAATCATGAACTGGATGGATTGCTCTTCAAGATATGGAATGACTTTGATATCACAGTGTTATTTCTGGGAACTCAAGTCATCAAATCTTATTGACATCTAATTAAAGTCAATATCAATTTATGGATATTTCAGTGTTTGTATTCTGTGTAATGGTGAACTGGAGAGGGTTTTCTTGTTAGGTTGAGACGTGACTGATGTTGACATCGTCCACTTCTCTTCATCGTGTGTCCCCCTACCCCATCCCCACCCCCACCATCACCCTAGCATCCTCCCTGACAACAAACCCTGTTTAGTTCTGTATAATTTAACTGATTAGAAAATTAAATGAATTATTAGCTCCAATGAGTGCTTTCTCATGCGGCTCAGTTTTATTACAAAAAAATAGTTTGATACAAATAAATTTAGATAACAGCAATGAACATGTATTTAACATACTCTATTGAACACTTGCCTCCTGCCACAGTCCTGTAACAACACACATCGTCTCACAAAATAAATAGAAAGAAACATTCCGTTTTTCAACACCCTTCCTTGTAAAGAATGTGAACTAAAACACCCTGCTAGCACCCTCACTGTTCTAATTTCACTGTCATTTATATAATCACACAACTTAGACAACATAAATATGAAATCAAACCAATAGCAGAAATGCCCACAAACACAAAATAACACTTTATTAAGCTTGAGTGCCAGCCACAATTCATTTAACATATAGTGAATAAAAAAACAAACGATGTAAAAAATAAATAAATCTCTTTAAATTCAAAATGGAGTACAGAACAGAACGTTATGGCAACCCTCAAGATTTATTTTCTGTAATCAGTCTCATGGTAGATTTGGCAGCCAGTGATGGGTGGTCCCCATTAGCTAGGTGGTAGATAAAGGAGGTGGAGAGATAGATAGAGAGAGCTCAGCCAGAGAAGCAGAAATCCTCCACACTGTTCACCTTGATCCTCTGCAGCTCCTGCCGGTCCAACAGCCGGTACTGGAACACCACCCGGTTGACAAACCTGCCGCTGGACACCATCCTCACCACAGTGTTGTCACAACCTATCTTCATCTGGGCTGGAGGATGAGGAAAGGAAAGAAAAAATAAATAACTGTCAGACATGAATAACAGGTTTGTATCAGCGGGGTTGGAGAGTGTGTCAGCAAAAATAATACTTTCCATTCATCAATGGATCATAAAGATTTACTCTTTGGCTGCGTTTAGACAGGCAACCCTATTCTGATATTTTTTCACTAATTGGTCTTTTGACCAATCAGATCAGCTCTGAAAAATATCTGTTGTGAAAAGATCTGATGTGATTGGTCAAAAGACCAATTAGTGGGGGAAAAAAGATCAGAATTGGCTGCCTGTGTAGGCTTAAACATACAGTATTAGGATGGTGATGGTGTGGGTAGTAAATATCTACTCTAGTTAGGATGGTGATGGTGTGGGTAGTAAATATCTACTCTAGTTAGGATGGTGATGGTGTGGGTATTAAATATCTACTCTAGTTAGGATGGTGATGGTGTGGGTAGTACATATCTACTCTAGTTAGGATGGTGATGGTGTGGGTAGTAAATATCTACTCTAGTTAGGATGGTGATGGTGTGGGTAGTAAATATCTACTCTAGTTAGGATGGTGATGCTGTGGGTAGTAAATATCTACTCTAGTTAGGATGTTGATGGTGTGGGTAGTAAATATCTACTCTAGTTAGGATGGTGATGGTGTGGGTAGTAAATATCTACTCTAGTTAGGATGGTGATGGTGTGGGTAGTAAATATCTACTCTAGTTAGGATGTTGATGGTGTGGGTAGTAAATATCTACTCTAGTTAGGATGGTGATGGTGTGGGTAGTAAATATCTACTCTAGTTAGGATGGTAATGGTCTGGGTAGTAAATATCTACTCTATTTAGGATGTTGATGGTGTGGGTAGTAAATATCTACTCTCGTTAGGATGTTGATGGTGTGGGTAGTAAATATCTACTCTAGTTAGGATGGTGATGCTGTGGGTAGTAAATATCTACTCTAGTTAGGATGGTGATGGTGTGGGTAGTAAATATCTACTCTAGTTAGGATGGTGATGCTGTGGGTAGTAAATATCTACTCTAGTTAGGATGGTGATGGTGTGGGTAGTAAATATCTACTCTAGTTAGGATGGTGATGGTGTGGGTAGTAAAGATCTACTCTAGTTAGCATGGTGATGGTGGTGGTGATGCTGATGGTGTTGGTGATGGTGTGGATTTGGGTGATGGTGATGGTGTGGATGTGGGTGTGGGTGTTGCTCACCGGGGCCATTGATGTTGTAGCAGAGGTCAGCTACTGGGAACATCTTAGACGGGTCCATCCCGTTCCCTCCCAGCAGCTCCACAAAGTCCCCTGCTCCCGCACAGCCTGGCATGGACTTTTGGAGAGAAAGAGACCAACTCAGTGGATTAACAAGCATTTTTACTTCCCTTCCTACCCTTATTTTTTCTGACTCAAAGCATCCCATCATCATCACTAGGAGCTAACACAAGTCTTTAGGTCTTTGGAAGGGTAGTTATGAAAAAAAAATAAAAAATGTATGCACTCACTAACTGTAAAGTCGCTCTGGATAAGAGCGTCTGCTAAATGACTAAAATGTAAAATGTAAATGTAGTTCACTAAACCACCTCCCTTACAACTCCCTAAACATCTAAGCCCCCTTTACTCAAATCTGGACCTTGAAGCCTCCAATCAGGAACTGTTTCATTCAGACCTGTGACGCATGGTGAGTGGAATCTCTGGCCAATCATTGAGTGGCATTAATCAACCAAATAACTACCGGGGAGAAAAGAAAACCAACAGTGCTGCAGACCTCCAGACTCAGATGTGAGTAGCTCTGTTCTGTGTGGTGATGTCCCTGCTCAGGGCTCACCTTGATGGGGAAGTCGTTGAGGTGTCCCAGGCTGAGCTCAGCGATCTTGATCTCCACGGGGTAGATGATGGAGAAGCTGCAGTTCCTGTGCTGCTGGGGTATCACCATGGTGAAGCTGCCCTCTGGTGTCTGGGAGATGATATTACAGGCTGTAGGTGGGGGGGGGTGGGGGGGGGGGGGGGGGGGGGGGAGATATATGAGTGTCTAGACTTTTCATACATGTTGATCTTCATATAGCAAAGCATTTATCAATTTACAGTACGTGGGTACAATTTCTTAGTAAACAAATGCAAACACACACACACAGAAACACAAAAACATCAGCAGATGTACGACTTAGACGTGAGCAGCTCTGTGCTTGGTACATATGTCAGCTAGAGAACACCTTCATATGTCAGCTAGAGAAATTCCTTCACTCTCTGTACCATAACAGGTACCCTATCTATTAAGCGTGCTTAGCCAGTAACCGAAAGGTCGCTGGTTCGAATCCCTGAGCTGACTGGGTGGAAAATCTGTCGATGTGCCCTTGAGCAAGGCACTTAACCTTTATTGCTCCTGTAAGTCGCTATGGATAAGAGAGTCTGCTAAATGACTAAAATCTAGTAATACATCCCTGCTGCGCACCTTTGAACCTAATACTTAGTTGAGATACACATGCTTAGCTTAACCACAACTTACTCTGAAATCTCTCACTAACATGATCCAGTATTGGCATGCATTTGTACAACCTAAAGTGTTACTAAAGCATTAACACACTACCCTGGCATTACAGCGTGTGATAAAGAATTAAAGCAGTACATTGGCATCCTGCCCCATGTTAGCACATTATATGGCCGAGGCACTCTGCCAGACAGGCATTAGGTTCTATCATCAATGATAGCTGTTAAAAGTACTCCTGCACACACATTTAACTCAGCATGTTTATCTATACATCGAGTCACAATTGTCTGACACTAAGTATATAAGTAAAACCCTCAAGGCTATTAACAGTAAGACTGGCCATCAGGCTGGTTCAGGTTTCTACTCACGGAAAGGGTTGATGGGTTTCCTGACAGTCAGCGTGAAGGAGCTGCCGACTGTGTGAACGCGGAAGAACACCATGGCAACATTCTGAGATGACCGCACGGTTCTCCTGACAGTCCCGGAGTCACAGTAGTCCACGTAGCGTTCCATCAGCGGCAGGGCGTGGTCCTGGGAACTAGGGAACTTCTCTCCCTTCATCACCCAGCCATCAAACACCTGGAAGAGGAGAGGGGAGACGGGAGAGAGAAGAGGGGAGAGAGGAGAGGGGAGAGAGATGTGGACTTAATCAAAACCAGTCAATCAAACCCAGTTATCTCTTTAAGAAAAATGGCCAGGATTCGAACAAATGCAGATGAACGACCTGTGCACTGTGATTGACTTTTAAAAGTGATTTCCATTTAAGCTGGTGTCTTAATCAGGAAGTGACTCTCTGTAGTGTCAGTCTGTGTTTAAATCCAGGGTGGGACTTAACTGTAACCTTAGCACGGATTTACAGGGTAAAGTAAGAAAACAACACAGGAAAATACCCTATTTTCCCCCTGGTGACGGCATCTGCTAAGTGGCTATATATTTTAGTGGTAGGCTATTTACAAGTCTGTAATCATCTACTACCAAGAACGAGTGTCCCCAGGCTGGGGGGTGAGGCAAGGGATTATGCCTGGCCTTGGGTGCTCTCGGCAGGGGAAGAGGACTACTCAGACCTGGGCACAAATAACAACAACAATCTGCCAGAAATTTCATCCCGTCAATGTTCCAGAAATGCCCCTATATCCCTGGACCTGGTGGTGCTGATGTCAGTTAAGGTGGAGGTGGGAGTGGAGTATTTGGGACGTATGTGGGTGTGAAAGAGGTGGTGGCGTGTGTGTGTGTGTGCTGTGCATGCATGCATGCCTGCCTGCGTGTGTGGTTACCTTGATGAAGTCTCCACCCCTGCAGTCGATGTCAACGCTGTCATATTCCACACTGATGACCTGGTTGGGCTCAGCGATGAAGAAAGCAGCACAGCTGAGCTGAGGCCGGTCTGCTGTAAAGGTGAACTGACCCTCTGCTGCCACCATGTCCAGACACTCTGAGAGAGGGAGAGGAGGAGGAACGGAGGAAGAAAGGAAGGAAGGGGTTAGAGAAGGATAGAGAGAAAGAGGAGCGAGAGGGGAGAGATAGGGAAGAGGGCTAGAACGAGGGAGATGGGTGTGGGGGTAACAGAGAGGGGAGAGATAGGGAAGAGGGCTAGAACGAGGGAGATGGATGTGGGGGTAAAGACAGGGGAGGAAAAGAGAGAGGGAGAATCAGAGACAGAAAGAGAGATGACATTGAAAGGGAGACTGAAATAGAGACAGGGTTAACATTACATTTTGTGCACAGTGGCTGTTTAAATTTTACATTATGAAGTGTTTCTGACAAACTTCAATCAATTAATATCAATTTCTAATTAATCAAGTAGTATTCATCAGTCTGTACATTTGGTCATGAAAGCCATACACAGATTATAATGATGTAAATTACAATAGGCCTAATCCCACATTAATTATTTTCGATTATTAATTATTCTCAGAATTCCATACACAATTGTGACTGACAAATTTAGAGAAAGAAAATATGAAAAACACCTTCTTAATAAAAATATGCATTTTAGAAGGTGTGATAATGTCAACAGAAACGTATTGCTTCACAAGTCGACCATGTAAATGAAATGGAAAATATACCTATGGGGAATAAAGTTTTCTAGGAAATGACTTCAGTCAGTTACTTACGGAGGGGTCGGCTGTACATTAATTCCTCTGGTATTTCTCTTTTGAGCTCTGAATTAAGAAGTGAAAATAATCCTTCTGGAGTGATCTCATTTTCCTGCAAGAAAAATACAAAAACATTTAGATAATATTTAGAAAAAGAAAGTTAAGATTTAATGTGGCCAAGTGACAGCAATATACCGTCAAGCAAGATAACACAAGGGTTTAAGTAAATGTTAGTAGCTACAGAATGCATAAATCAAGCCAATATGTTAAAAGACGTCTTGAGTAGCATAGAAGTGCGCAATGTGAACATTAGGCCTACTTTAGTTGCAACAACTTTTCTTACACAAAACACATTATGGCATTAATTGAGCTTTTATTACAAAGTCTAGTAGAGTAAACACGTGGGAACGGAAAAGGTCAATAAAAAAGGCAAAGTGTTTCCAGAGGCTTACCTCGATGTACCTGGTGTCTCCCTTGAGAACTGACAGACATAACACAACGAAGAACAGCTGCTCTCGAAAAGTCCCCTCCATATTGCTCAGTATCTCTCTCTGGAGTCTCCCTCGCACCTCAAGAACAGAACTGGGGAAAGTCTGGTCCAGCGCTCCAAGCCACACTCCTTTTTATAGGTTGACGCACCGCGCGCTTCTCAATAAAAACGCACTCCGTAAAGATCAATTGCTACACAGTCCCCCAGATAGCGTGTTTGTGACGAGAGCAAAGGAGGAATCAATAGGAATCACAGTGCGCCTGTGACTGTGACTGTCAGATGAGCAGAGAGAGAGAGAGAGAGAGAGAGAGAGAGAGAGAGAGAGAGAGAGAGAGAGAGAGAGAGAGAGAGAGAGAGAGAGAGAGAGAGGAGAGAGAGAAAGAGAGAGGCGGAGAGAGAGAGCGAGGGAGAGTGAAGGGAGAGAGAGAGAGGGGACGTCGAGAGGAGAGAGGGAGAGAGGGAGCGAGAGAGGAGAGGAGAGAGAGAGGGAGGAGGGAGGGAGAGAGAAATAAAGCCAGAGAGAGCACTTTGACAGATGCCCGAGCGCTTAGGACTGTGATAAGCACATAGAGTGCATTCGGAAAGTATTCAGACCCCTTGACTTTTTCAACATTTTGTTACGTTACAGCCTTATTCTAAAATTGATTAAATTGTTTTTTTCCCTCATCAATCTACACACAATACCCCATAATGACAAAGCAAAAACAGGTTTTTAGACTTTTTTGCAAAAGTGCATGTCAGAGTTGAGCATGTCAGAGCAAAAACCAAGCCATGAGGTCGAAGGAATTGTCCGTAGAGCTCCGAGACAGGATTGTGTCGAGGCACAGATCTGGGGAAGGGTACCAAAACATTTCTGCAGCATTGAAGGTCCCCAAGAACACAGTGGCCTCCATCATTCTTTAATGGAATAATTTTGGAACCACCAAGACTCTTCCTAGAGCTGGCCATCCGGCCAAACTGAGCAATCGGGGGAGAAGGGCCTTGGTCAGAGAGGTGACCAAGAACCCGATGGTCACTCTGACAGAGCTCCAGAGTTCCTCTGTGGAGATGGGAGACCCTTCCAGAAGGACAACCATCTCTGCAGCACGCCACCAATCAGGCCTTTACGGTAGAGTAGCCAGACGGAAGCCACTCCTCAGTAAAAGGCACATGACAGCCCGCTTGGAGTTTGCCAAAAGGCACCTAAAGGACTCTCAGACCATGAGAAACAAGATTCTCTGGTCTGATGAAACCAAGATTGAACTCTTTGGCCTGAATGCCAAGCGTGGCACCATCCCTACGGTGAAGCATGGTGGTGACAGCATCATGCTGTGGGGATGTTTTTCAGTGGCAGGGACTGGGAGACTAGTCAGGATCGAGAGAAAGATGAATGGAGCAAAGTACAGAGAGATCCTTGATGAAAACCTGTTCCAGAGTCCTCAGGACCTCAGATTGGGGTGAAGGTTCACCTTCCAACAGGACAATGACCCTAAGCACACAGCCAAGACAACGCAGGAGTGGCTTCGGGATAAGTCTCTGAATATCCTTGAGTGGTCCAGCCAGAGCCCGGACTTGAACCCGATCGAACATCTCTGGAGAGACCTGAAAATAGCTGAGCAGCGATGTTCCCCACCAACCTGACAGCGCGTGAAAGGATCTGAATAGAAGAATTGGAGAAACTCGCCAAATACAGGTGTGCCAAGCTTGTAGCGTCATACCCAAGAAGACTCGAGGCTGTAATTACTTCCAGAGGTGCTTCAACAAAGTACTGAGTAAAGGGCCTGAATTCTTATGTAAATGTTTTATCAGTTTTTAATTTTTTATAAATGTGCAAACATTTCTAAAAACCTGATTTTTCTTTGTCATTATGGGGTATTGTGTGTCGATTGATGAGGGAAAAAATAATTGAATCAATTTTAGAATAAGGCTGTAACATAACAAAACGTGGAAAAAGTCAAGGGGTCTGAATACTTTCCGAATGCACTGTATAGACAGGTGTGTGCCTTTCCAAATCATGTCCAATCAATTGAATTTACCACAGGTGGACTCCAATCAAGTTGTAGGAACATCTCAGATCAGCTTGTGATTGTATATTATTATATCATTATTATTATATTATTATTAGTTGTAGTTAAACTCACACAGTTTAGCAAGTCTAGCCATTCTACAAGTAATGTGAGCTGTGCCAGTTTAGCCAGGCCATCCGAGCTTGACCTCCACCGATCACACCATGCATGTCACTGACTGGTTATCTTCTCCACAGATTTCCATCTTGCCCTACCTGTCTCCTCGCTCCCTCCCTCCCACCCATCCCCACCCTCCCTCCTTCCTGCCCATCCCCCCCAAGCCACTGGGCGCCCTAGGCATTTAGAAAGGTCAGCTCCATCCCGGCATGGCATTTAGTCCTTTCTGTACCTGTCCGTCCTGTCCTTCTGTCCTTTGTCTCTCTCAATCAAAACACTGCCAGGGGGTTAAACAATGGCTGGAGTCCTAGCCAACGTCAGCTATCTTAGCCTTGCACCGTGACATCACTGTACTTCTCTGAGACTCATAGTGACTGTTTCCGTAGAACTGTTGAAGCTGAGCTGTTTAACAATACTGAGGTACATGCTATAGATGGATATGCTACACATGGGATGTTTTGTATAACACAGTCAGAGGCTATGTATTGTACCATGAGTTTATGGAAGGGTCATGATGATCACACTGAGCATTACACCACATCTCACATTACAGAGGACCATGGGCCTCAACACTCTTAACAACAGCCTATAAACACCCAGTCCAGAAGACATGTTGTGTGCCTGCCTGAGTGCCTACCCAGCTCCAGCAGAATGTGACCCAAATTTAACAAGTGATTTAGAGAGGCTTGGGGAACCTCACCGGGTTCCAACACACCGTTGCCGTGGTAAATCATTCTAACTGGTGTCTGGCTCGTTTAATCCTTCCCTCCATTGCTGTTAAAGCTGATTTTCTGGAGTGCTGACGCACTTGGCAGGTCCTGGGTGTTGTCTTAGCATAAATCACTTCGTTCCCTGTGATCTCCTCTCCCTCTGCCGTATGGAGGGAGTGCCAGGCAGAGTATTGGATTGGGATGCTCTGTAAACCCAGGTGAGCCTCGGTCCAAACGTGAATGCATTCCTTATGGAGCTTTGACAGTGGAAAGAGTGTTATGTCTTGTTGGGTTTGTCGTTTAATTGCAACACAGGCTCAGTTTGGTTTGGTTGGCTTTGATTTGGTATTTGTTGAGCGTAAGTGGACTCACTTGGAAGAAAAATTATTAATCCCAAGAGGGGTTTGTATCCCAATGTTGAAATGAAATAATAAAAATCGAGCTGATTAAATCTGGCCCCATGTAAAAACACTGAGTCCGCCGCCTCTCTCTGTCTTTATAAAAACATGGTACTTTGGCTGTGTCCTACACAACATAAAAGGCAGGGCCCTTTGTGGACTTTCATTGACAAATGCCAAGTGGGCCCTGAGGGGAGCTGATGGTAGAGTAAACAGTTGTTTTTCATAGACGCTGAATGGACATTTCAAGGTAAATTATGTTGTTAGCATCTATTAGCCATAATTGCTGATGATGCTTCCTCTCTGTCTGCCTAGCAGGTCCACTGAGAGGTTAGGTATTGTAATTGCTTGCAAGGTCATGTGTTCAATGGGGTGCATACACAGCTCCTTAAAATACATGGGATTTTGTATAACCTGCATTCTATGCAGTAGACATTAGAATATTTACTGTGTTAAAATATGAAGCATTAAGGGTCAAAAGGACAACATCCATTTCCATTGAGTACTAGGCCTATTGTGTTTGAAAGCTGACTGAACTGATTTGAACACTCTTGACCTTCTCAACTGAGCTACATTCAGATCTAGCTATCCTCCTCTTTGGAGGAATTTGGAGCATTTGGAGTAAATCACTCATCTATGCTGGTAATTCATCCCATTTCTTTACAGGAGCTAGACTAAAGACATGGAAGTGGTTAGGCGTTTAATTGTCCACTTAGGTCAGACATGACTTCCAATGATGTCCTGAATGGACCTCTGATATAATGGCTGCCATTAGCTTAGTGATTATGATGTCACTGGTTTTTTACGGGAGAGAGGCACTTGTTTTCTCCAGAGAGGATGAGTCTCTTTTGTCTCCAGAGAGGATGAGTCTCTTTTGTCTCCAGAGAGAATGAGTCTCTTTTGTCTCCCTACTCGTCTGAGAAAGTAGCAGTGGGGTGAGTTTTGATCTCACAAACTCACTTGAATTCTTGACATTTGTCCAACTGTCGCAAGCGTCAAATTGCAAGGCTTCGGTCAAATGTCAAATTATTCTGTCAAATGTGAGACCAGGTTTCAGTATGTGCACTTTATTAAGTAAGAGAGAAAATATAATCTGGATGAGCAGCTGTAATACTGTCACCATCAGGAAATGAAATGACAATAGCAGCTCTATTAACAGAGTGGGGTGGTCTTCACTTTGGTCAAGTGGGCAAACTCTGGTTGAGTAACTCTCCACACATACAGAATATTCCTCATTTTCCTAGACAGTTTCCATTAGAACAACCTGACACTTCCGGTTTTATCCTAAATCACCCCTGGTGTTGACAAGGACCTTACTTTCTGGCTCTAAAACAGGGATGGCAACTGGCGGCCCAGAAAGCCCTCGGATCAATATATATATTTAATTAGGAACTCAGTCGGGGTCTCCACTTACTCTTGCGAGTTAGAATAATAGAATACACCAGGTGCAATTTCGAAATTTGGTTGGGCATCAGCAGTTTTTCTCGTTATATAATTCACCGATAGTCAGTCAATTAGCCCATGTCAGCTACACTGAACGAAAATATAAATGCAACATGTAAAGTGTTGGTCCGATGTTTTATGAGCTGAAATAAAATATCCCAGAAATGTTCCATTTACACAAAAAAGCTTATTTCTCTGTCAGTGAGCATTTCTCCTTTGCCAAGATAATCCATCCACCTGACAGGTGTAGCATATCAAGAAGCTGATTAAACAGCATGATCATTACACAGGTGCACCTTGTGCTGGGGACAAAAAAAGGTCACTCTAAAATGTACCGTTTTTTCACACAACACAATGCCACAGACGTCTCAAGTTTTGAGGGAGTGTGCAATTGGCACGC